AGCAAGAACGCCAACAGCGATGTCAGCATCAGCAAAAAAAGCAAGAACGCCAACAGCGATGTCAGCATGCGATCTGAGCTGCTTCGGTGTGGTTTCGGTTTGGGATTTAGGGCGTCCGAAGGTGTCTACGTAGGTTTGGAAGTAACTGTGCCATACGTCACGCTAGAGGTACCGTAATTGGGGTGCTATAGATTTAGATACCAGTATTTACCAGTGAGTATAACTGCGGTTAACCCGCCTGCACAAACCCTAAGCCCTAAGCCCTAAATAAACCGTGACCTCAAGCCAGCCATCAGCCTTCGAGTCTCTCGGGGTCAGTGCTGGGAAGGGAAAAATGCGATTTTGCGGGGATACTCGCTTGAATCTGGAAGGTAGCTTTTTCGCTGGAACTTCATAGTGCGCACAGGGAAGCTCTGCTTCCAATCGATCGGGATCCTAGTACATCGGGCCACCCTTCAGCTCTAAATTCTAAGCCTTGTTTCTTGTTGAGGCCCCGGGAAGTGGGTCTTTCGCTGCAGCGGTCTTGAGCGCATGCTGCTGGAAGCTGGCAGTGAAGGTCCGAGAGTCCACAAACAAAGCCAGACACCACGAGCAAAACACAGGGTCTGGGGTTTGAGCAGTTCAAACTGAACTTAAACAATGAGGTTGAAGGTTGCGCCTGTGACCCTCGCAACCGCAAGCCTAAAACCCTGACCTCTAGCCACCCAACCTTAAAGTACACTACTCAATTATGCACTCCAAAAGCCTGTCTGCGCATGCTCGTTCGTGTGAAGGAGTTTACGTCCATGTCACACAACCCCGAAACTAACCATAAACCCGAATATGGACGCGCAACACGTTTTTTCGACGAGTTGACCATAAGCTGAAGGAATCGTTGGTGTAGGTTTCGAGTTGCTGCAAAGCCTCAACCCTGAACTATCGGATCGAAGGCGTCTGCCGACTTTATCAAACATCGCTAGCTCGAGCTCTTCGCTACTAAGTTCTCCTAGCAGGATCCCAAACTCTAAACCTGTAGGGTTGAGAATTCAGGCCTTAAGTTAGGGAGGTTTGAACCACCAAGCTTGCGAGCTCCAGACCTTTTGACTTCCCGACAAAATTGCCCCAAACAGTAAAAGCCCTAAACCCTAAACCCTGGGGGTTGGGCGCGTAATCTGCCGTCTTCGGCAGCGGTTACAGCGAAGCCGATGACCACATCAATGAAGACTTTGTTGATGCGTGCTGGACGCGAGGGCTGGGTGGTTGCGGTTAATTTGTTTCGATAAGCAGGCGCATGCACTAGAACCGTGAATGGATGTGTGTGTGTGTATATAGAGAGAGAGAGAGAGGGAGAGAGGGGGGGGTACATATGTACATGTTGGCCTATTCGAGCTGTGTATATGTGTATGTATGCATGTGTATGTGTATAGGCAGGAGTGTTTGTAGGTGTAGATGTACATATGTATTTGCATATGTGTATGTGTATGTACATATACGTATGCATATGTAAATGCATGTGTATACATGCAAACACATATACACTTACATATACGTGTGTAAACATATATACATGTGTTCGTATACGTATGTAAATATGAACGTAGGTAGGTAGGTAGGTAGGT